AATTAATTAGGAAAACAAATAATTCGAAAAGAAAAGAAATATATTATCTAGATTTTTTCTTGATTCTTAGAGATTTAGTTAACCGATTTGTAAAATAAGTATTCTATAAGTGTAGAACAAAAAGTTTATGTAGAAATGAAATTCTACTAAGCTGTAGAACCAAGAGGTAACTATAGAAAAATAATTCTACTAAACTGTAGAACAATGAAAATGTTGTAGAATACGGTTTCATAACTTTGTAGAAAATAGAAAAACTGTAAATAACTAATTCTATATATTTCGTAGAAAACTAATGAAATGGTAGATAACATATTTTATAAATTTATAGATTTTTAAAATGCGTTTTCTATTAATTCATAGAACATTTGTAAAAAATTTGTTGTAAAATTTTTCTTTGCAAAAAAATAGTACAAAATGTCTTTGTCTTTTTTTCTGAATTTTCCAAAAAAATTTTAGATTATAAAAATTATTTTTCAAAATTTCATAATTATAAATAAAGGGTATATTAGTCCAAAAGTTATAAAGTTTGAAAAAGTATTAAGGGGACAATACTACAGTTTTTTTGTCTTATAAATATAATTGTCCCATAAATCATTACCTCACCAACTAGACTTAAAAAACAAGTTTTTTCATTAGGTTTTGTACCTTCAATGCAGTTACACTTTGTGCCAACATACGAAGATTTATCGAAATTGATCTCAATAAACAGGAACACGGACAAAAAAGAACGTGAGATCCAAACAAGAACCAAAACAATAACTACTCCAAACATGGCCAATCCAAAAAAATATTGAGCACTTGAGTAGATAAACTCAAGAAACCTTAGAGCATGTACATTGGAGAACTCCTCATTGGGGTTCATAAGAATATAAAAGTAATTTTTTTGGGATATATGAACAGTGAAAAACCTGTGTGAGTTTTGTGTTTCCATTAGTAAATTTGGTTCACAGATTCTAAAAAAAAAACAATTTGTTTAATTCAACATCTTCTTGAAAAAGTAATTCAACAACATCTTCTTGATCAATCTTCTGCGAGTTCTTGGACAGAAATGGCTCGGCTTCCTTCACCTTCAAAGTCGTCAAATGCTATGGTTGCGATCTGTTCCCATTCTTCAAGAGCCTCAAGTTGATAAACACTGACCGCAGCCGTACAAAACTCTTCAAAATCGAGTTTCTTATGTGCTATAATGGTTGCATCTTCAATCAACAAAAAAAGAAAAATATAAACAAAAGAATATCACAGATGTGACTATGCAAATACTAGAAAACGCTGGGACTCAAAAGAACAAAGATGGAACAGGGCATTATTTGATTTGAAAAAGAAAAAAAAACACATCTAAGTAATACTGCTAAACAGCTTGCATCATTTTGAGCTTGATTATCACAGGGAAAAATGAATTCATCTGTATATAGCTCTTGTGAGGCATCAAAAAGAGTACTTAAAGCAAGCCACATTCGGTTTATATACTTCCTATATAATTGCTGAGTAATCACTGGAAGAAGAAGCCAAGAGTTTGCCATTATGTGAGAATTTCACGAACAAGATGTCATCGGTATGTTCCTCCAATATCTGAGCCATTCACATAATATCATTAAAGGTATAAAAACAGTCACATAAAGTCTAATAAAACGAGCCTGATAAGTAATCATTGAATCCATAACAAGAAACATGAACATATTCAAAGACTCTGACTTAAACAAGATTTTAGCAAAAGTAATGTGACTCTCGTAATGTTTTCAACACTCAACAACATCATCACGAGGTCAGTGCATAGTCTTGTTACCTGTACAGTCTCCGTAGGAATTTTACGTTGCCCACAACGATGACCAGACCACAACACAAGGTTTTGTCTGCGTTGGTTGAACCATGGCAGGAGGAGGAATGTTGTGACGGTTTGTCTGCGTTAGAGCCACTGGTCTAGTTTTCTGTTGGTGTAAAGGGCTCTTCCATTAATTCTTCCCAATCTTGTTCACACCTAACTGATGCTGAGGCCTATCCATCTCAAGAAAAGACTAAAACCCCAAATCTATTATATAAAGAGTGAGTTGTGTCTCACAAACTTGACACCTAAGCACCCATCCTTTTGACACATCAGCTTCTAAAAAATTATTAGATTTTTATTATTTAATCATTTTCAAAAACCTCTTCGTAAATAAGCATCAATTTATCACTTAAATCATTGAATTTAGTGATAAATATACATTTATTAAGATAACTCTCCTAAAAAGTGTGATTCATCTCCCTTAAATTAACTAATGTATCTCTCCTTATATACAAGTTATCTTAGTTAGATTACTGAACCAAAAATAAGAAAAATATAGGAGCAGTCATAAAAGGCCGAGAAAGAGAAGATGAGAAATAAGAAAGAAATTAAAAAAAGAGGAGAAAGAGTCGTGAAAAGAGGAAGACAAGAGAAGAGAGGACAAGCCGTGAGTAAGAGAGTGAGAGAGAGGAGGAGATTAATGATAAAGAAAAAAAAGCAGAGAGAGCACATAAACAAGAGGAAGGAGAACAAGTGTCCGGAAATCAGAATGGATGACGTTGCAGAGAAAGAATAGATCATCACCATCGCAAAGGAGAATATTGAGAAAGGTATATCTGTTTGAGGAAGTAAGGAAAAGAGGAATAAAAAAAATCAGAGTGATTATTAGATATAATATCAATTACTAACTCAACAGAGAATCATAGATGACCTATAAAAGCTTTTGATTTCTTTATTTCAGTAGACATCAAAATATCCATACGAAGGCTAAGCAGCCACTATACAATTTTCCTTTGCATGGAGACCACCAATGGGGGTCTATATTTTATTAGTCTAATTGTGATTATGTGTAGGATATACTAGCTGATCAGTAAGTAGCAGTGTTATTGTATAGCTTAAGAGTTCTTTGATTATAATTTACCAAAAGTTTATTTATTTTTTATAATATAAAGTTTATGTAAATGTTTGTGGATACGTATGACAGTTTGTTTAGCTAATTAATGGTTAAAATAAAAAATCTACTAATTATTTTAATACATTCCATAGAAATGCTTATGACCTACTAAACGGAGGTAAATATATTTTACCATGTTAAAAAAAGAAGGATTATTGAAAGTTTGGTCTAAATCATGTAGGAACTAAGTAAAACAAAAGATGAAGGAATGAGTAGTAAAATGTTGTCAGTTTAAAGAATCTATTTGAGTGTGTGTGTCTGTAGTGTTTAGAAGGATTGGATTAGGATTGTGTTTTGGTGATTTCATTGGCAAATGTTATCGTCTAATTAGGTTTTTTAAGAAAATTACAAATCCAAAATACAAAAAGAGTTTTCAAAGTGGATTTAGAGTAATATTTTAATATTGCAACTATAACTTTTAACGATGTGAAACAAAGAAATCTATATCATTGTGGTTAAGAGAGAGCTAAGAAATTTTCATAGGAGTGGAGAGAAGTAAGCATAACATGATATAGTCTAAAATACATCAGTACATTCAGGTTAAACTATAGATTTTTAGAACAATTTAATAGATAAAAACAAAAAAATCTCTCTGTTTTTAAATATGTATAACAGAAATAATAGATTTTTACACAGTAATAAGGCCATCAATTTGTTGTGAGATTTAGAAAAATGCATAGCAAAAAAGACCCGCGTGTATACGCGGGTGTTCATCTAGTTCTAATCTAAAACCACAGTAGAGTAACACAACTCAAAGCTCAAGCTTTAACGAGAAACAGAGTAAAGCAACACCTTTAGCATCGGAGAATATCCTGAATTAAGCTAAAAATTCACATTTTCACAACTATGACCCGTAAATTAATACCCTTAATCCAATTAATCGAATCAGAAGTGTTCCTAAGAATAATCGCAAATGACTCGCAAATGACTCCAAAACCATTGAACAAAGCAAACAACAGAGAGTGTGGATCTTAAAATCCACGCTCAAGGATTTAGTGTGTTGATTTTGTGATAGAAGAATTTGGGCAAGAATTTTGATAAGAGCGATGTAAAAGTAAAGACAAAGATCGACGATTTGGATTGTATTAAAGAATGGTCAGGCAAAGTGTTTCTAGTTTTAGGACTGAATAATAGATCGAGTGTCCTTTACAAAGTGAGGACCTCTCTACTTATACTAACTTGAGCATGCCGGTTGGTTGCGAGATCTTCGGAACGATACCACGTCCCTCTCTCCAAGATCTTCGTGATTTCATCTTATCTCGTATCTTCCTCTCTTCCAGGTTGGCATATGCTCCGAAGATGCTTTTGGGAAGACATCCTCCTTTGACTCTTAGCTTGGGCCTTGCTGGCCCGGAATCTTCCCCATAGTGATTTTGCTTGTGATCGATGGTGGGCCGGATTTGGGCTAAATCCAACACCAACAGAGACTAATCGACTAATCGAGATATAGAGCAGTAGAAATCAAACCAGGAAAATGTAAATTCAAAGAAAGAAGGAAGAGTACTTTTGAATTCAAATGCAAGAAAAAAACGAATTCTTCGATCAGACCAATATGAGAATCCCTCCGATCGTTGAACCTGTCTGAATGGAAACAATTAGGGCTCAGGCGTGAAACCGTCGACAAGGGAGACAATTGAATAGGCTGAACGTGAAATCAAATGTGGATTTAGGGGAAATGGAATTTGAAAACGAAAAGCTCGATCTACACAAAAACATCGACCAAAAATGAAGAATAAAAAAAATGGTCGACAGAAAATGATAGAGGAAAAAGAGTGCGCAAAAAAAAAAGTTACGCAAAATACAAGTTAGCCAATCATATTAGGCCTAAGAAACAAATTCTTCAGATTCTTCTTTAGTTTGTCAAAAATAGGTTTTTTATTTATTTAAATCGTTTTTATCTAATAAACTAGGCTATGAACTCCATCTAAACCTATCTAAGAAACTCCAAGTTGGAAAAGCTTCCAAGACGACCAACTAGACTACAAAACCCGTTCTTCATTTTATACATTTTTAAATTAGGTTGTGTACTTTGAACGCAGTTTTACTTTGTGACAACATACGAAGATCTCGATGAATATTATTAAATTACTATTTCTCCAAGACTATATAGTAGAGTAAACTCAGAAAAATGATTAAACCAAAATATAAAAAACATTATATTACAAAATCACTGACACAAAAAGTCACCGACACCGACAAAACTATGACTTTGGTTTTCCACCATAAGCTTGCTTGCAAATGGAAAATGGTTTCTGCGATGGAGCACACATCTTCACTTTCCCTGGACATCCCTGTAGACAATTATTCCCCAAACTTCCCATCACTTCCGATTCCGGTCTAACAAATCTCGCCGGCGGTTTCCCCGTCAAGAAATTCCCGTCAAGGAAAAGCCTTCTCAGAGTCTTGCTCCGTTCGTATTCCGACGGAATCACGCCGTGAAGCATGTTGTATCTTAAAGACAACGAAGAAAGACTCGGGTACGCCGCGAAACTCGCCGGAGCGTATCCGGTGATCCGGTTAAACCCTAGCTCCACCGCCACGAGGTCGCTTTCTCCGGCGACTTTCGGAGGGAGTACTTCGATGGATGTGAGACTGTTGTTCGCTAGATCTACTTGTTGGATAGATTGTAGAAGAAAGAACCAAGCTCCAAGTGTTCCAGTGAACGAGTTCTCAGCGAGTTCGACGATTTCAAGCTGAGTTGAGTCGGTGAACGATTCTTTTGAGATGGGTCCTGATAAAGAATTCGACTTTAAAGCAAGGTCGATGAGGCTTCTCGGAAGCTTTGGGATGGATCCTGTGAGTTTGTTGTAGCTTAGATCGAGTTGTCTTAGACTCGACAGCGAGTTCATTGATTTCGGAAGCGAACCGGTGAGTGAGTTGCGAGATATGTCAATGGACTCGACCGAGTTAAGCCGAGTTACCGATTCGGGTAAGGACCCGGAAAACGAGTTGGACCGGAGGATCAGTGTCTTGAGGCTGAGGAGGGAGGAGAGGGAAGATGGGATTAGACCGTAAAACTTGTTGTCGGCAAGATCGAGCGTTAGGAGCTGAGTGAGACCAGAGATGAGCGGCGTGAGACGACCCGAGTACCCGGCCGGGTCAAGTGTGAGTTGGGTCACACGTGTGGATTCGGACGAGCAAGTGATGCCACACGTGAAATGTGTTCGACGCGGTGATGCGCATGGGTCGGAGGAAGCAAAGTCCCAGCTTGCGAGACAAGACCATGGAGGGATTGAGTTTGGTTTCACGGCGGCTTTGAAGGCTATTAAAGCTGACACGTCGGCTTGTGACGTTAGCGCGTCGGCGGAGAAAATGAAGAGGAGGAGGAGGAGGAAGGAAATGGACAGTGTCATAGTTTTGGTTTTAAGTGTTTTGTGTGAATGATGATGTCAAGAAGTTATAAGTGTTACAACTTTTATATAAAGGCAAGTCTACGTGGTGGAGGTCGGGTTTGCCTTTTGGTCGCTTCATACGTACAAGAATAATGATGACTCAATGCTTAAACCAAAATCAAATGTTTTGAACAAATTATTAGAAATTAACGGTCTATCAAATTTTTATAGCCACGTTTTGTGTTCTACTATGGCAATAGTTTGATTGTAATTTAGTGATAGTGACGTAGTGGTTTCTGTTTGTGTAGAAATTGTTCATAAGGTCTAATTTAAAGATTGATTTCTCGCAGAATCATAAGTTATATAACCACTCTATTTTGTTGGTTGAAATGGACAAATGGTGAGTGAGTTTACTATATTTGATTGTAAATGTTTAGAAGATTATTTCTTATAGATGTGATGTTAGCGACAAATTTGGAATGGGACAAGAATCGTCTGTGTATGACTATGAATAGACACGGATACTAAGAGCACTTCCAACTGGGTATCACTTAGGTATCACAAGTGGGATCTCCTTTTTTTTTGGGTTTAAAAATTTAAAAATAAATCCAATTCTGATGATACCGTATGACTGCACTCATTTTATTGAACCCGTATCACCGAGTATCATCGGACAGGTGGCGAAATATTATTGGGTTATGTGGGAAGAGAAAATTTTTATCGGGCATTTCTTCCCTTCGAAAAATATCGCGACCAAAATTCATTCTCTCCATCTCTTTGTCCTGATAATCTCCTAGAGGAAATTGCCGACACCGACACCGACACCAGTGAGTTTTTCTTCTTCTCTTAGGATCGATGTGCTCATTAAAAAGGAAATGTATGTGTAAAACTGAGTTTTTGGTTTCTTCTTTTCTTTAATCGCTCTAATTAGCCTTTTATGGGTATTGAGAAATTGGATTGATCTGAATCTTTTCCTTTTCTTTCTCTTATGAGTATTGAGAAATTGGATTTGGTGTTGTAGATGAGCAGCTAGGTTTCTTCTGTCGGCATCACTTATATTCGATTGACTCAAAAGCATATG